TACAAAAAAGTAGGTTTTTGGTAGGTTAAGGTAACGACCTAAACCCTAAAGCGTGTTGTAGAGGCCTCTTTGAGCCTGTATGGGCTTTGTAGGTTGCGGGATCCCTGGGCCACAATGTGGGCGGTACTAACGTGGTAAACTTAAAACCCTAGCCCCAGACCCTGAAGCCTAAACGCTAAACCCTAGGCTTTCGGAGAGAAGGGGCGCAATCAGCGTTAAAAACCTAAACCCTAAACCCTAAACCCTAAACCCTAAACCCTAAACCCTAAATCCTAAACCCTAAACCCTAAACCCTGAACCCTAAACCCTAAACCCTAAACCTTAAACCCTCAACCCTAAACCCTAAACCCGAGACCTGAGCCCCTACAGCCCAAACGGCGCCAACGAACTCGAAGTCCATGGGAGGTCGGCCCGATCCCTGAACCCCAAACCCCAAAACCCTCAACCCCTAAACTTTAAACCCAAAGGCCCAAACCCCCAAACCCGAACACCCTAAACCCCTAAACCCTAAGCCCAAAACCCCTAAACCCTGAACCCTAAACCCTAATACCTAAGCCCAAAACCCTTAAACCCAGAACCCCAAATAAAAAGGTCACAGAGCTCGAAGCCCAGGATCTTTTGCCGACGCTCCGGGGCCACGCTGCTAGAGCCGTGGAGTAGACTTTTGGGGCTTTTAGGGAGTTTAGGGTTTAGGGGGGTCCAGGGGCTTTTAGGGTTTAGGGGGGTCTCGGGGGGTTTAGGGTTTAGGGGGGTTTAGGGGGGTTTAGGGTTTAGGGGGGTCTCGGGGGGTTTAGGGGGGTCTAGGGGGGTTTAGGGTTTAGGGGGGTTTAGGGTTTCGGGAAGGTTTATGTTTTTGGGGTTCGGGGTGCCGTTTCAGGTTGAAGTGTTTGGCATTATTTCCAGTTGAAGCCGGGAACCGAAGACAGTTTTTTGCGATGCTTGGGTTTGGGTTTCGGAGACGTGTTAGACCTAAGCCCCAAATCCGAACTCCGGGACCCGGTGCGTGGGACCTCGAATTCCCAACCATCTCTTAGAAGGAGAACGACCCAGAGCTCCTTCGGTGCAGCCAAGAATCACCCCAAAGCCTTTTACCATAAAGGGTTTAGGATAATCATATTCCAACTTTCTGGCTTTTACCTTAGCTCAAAACCCTATTGACCGTGGTTCTTGGAAAACTGCCATTGTAGTTTCTATTGCTTTTGTTGTTCGGGGATGAGGTCTTAGAGGTCAGCGTGGGTGGTTTTGGGTTTTACCATACCTAGATCCAAGCAAGTTCTGTGAATCCTGTTTATAGATCCAGCAAGATTCTAAAGCCTGAAACTGCTCTATTGATCCAGAAACCCTGAACTCTGCACCCGCAGCTCGAAACCTCAAGCCCGGAACTGCATAACCTGAAGCTTAAATCGCCCTTGTGCTCCCAAACTAGATCCAAGCAAAACCCTGAACCCTAAACCCCAAGCCCGAAACCCTAAGCCCCTAAACCCTACAACCCTATATGTTAAACCCCTAAACACTTAAACCTTAGGCCCCCAACCCTGAACTGAACCCCTCATAGATCCCTTTGAGGAACCGTTTAAGGGACTTTCAAAGGGAGCCCCAAACCCCGAAGCAACCGCCCTAAACCCTAAACCCTAAACCCTAAAACCCTAAAACCCTAAAACCCTAAACCCTAAAACCCTAAAGCCCTAAAACCCTAAAACCCTAAACCCTAAAACCCTAAAACCCTAAAACCCTAAAACCCTAAACCCTAAGACCCAAAGACCCTAAGCCCTCAGAGGAGTTGGGCTTTCGCTTCCCCGACCTAGCGGACCCCGGATTCCAGCTGCGCCTCGCTTCCTTTTCGATCGCAACCAATTTTTTGTTAGCAGGGTTTAGGGTTTAGACGTTTGAGGGTTTAGCGGTTTAGGGTTTAGGGCTTAGGGTTTAGGGTTTAGGGGTTTAGGGGTTTAGGGGTTTAGGGGTTTAGGGGTTTAGGGGTTCAGGGCGGGTTTAGAGAGTGTCTTCATTTTCATTTTCCTAGTTGTTAATGCCATTGTGATGTTGAAAGGTATGTAGGGCGAAGGCTTCGAGACTTTCTGGGGGCTTAGTTGTCCCGACACCCTAAGCCTCTCAATCCCGTCAGTGTCAGACCCGCAATAATAAGCCCTCTTTGTGGAATGCCCCAAAGCCGCTAACTCCTAAATCCTAAACCCTAAACCCTAAACCCTCAAAAAAAACCCTAAACCCTAAACTCTAAATCCTAAACCCTCGCCCTTAACCGAATCCAGAGCCCCAGCCCTGGCCAAAAAGGCCCCAAAATCTTCCAGAGCCTTAACCCTACGCCCCACATCTGCAAGATTCCAAAAATGTCCTCCGAGCTCCACTCCTGTTTTGGGGCTTCCTGATTATAGTTATAGTATGATGGGCCCAAAATCCTATTCTAAGTATTCAGGCCCGGATATTGACCATAAACCTCTCAGACCTTAAACCCAGACTTGCAGAGCCTTCAGAAGCCTTCTGTAGCCCTTCCTTGAAGCTTTACAAAGCCTCACAAGGGATCTCTTAGCGAGGGTTTCTGCATGGGACGTATAAAGGACGTAAAAGGGTCCTAAATGGTTCTACCATAGACAACCACACAAGACAACACCTATCAAACCTAACTTCCTAAACCCCCCACATTAGAACCCGGGCCCAAACCGTACGACTTAACACCCCCCCGGCGAAGACTCCGTAAACGACACCCTGTAATCAACCCTATGCAAACACTTATGAACCCCTATGCCTAGCCATACGGGCCGCATATGAAGCCTTTGTGAAGTTTTGGTCTCATTTACAGTCCGTCTAAACCCTTGTGAAACCCATCACCGACCCTGGTATGAACCCTGCACCCCTGTCCGCCCCAGCCTGTCTTCCCCGCAACAGCAACATCGAGCACGCACTTTGAGGCAAGCACGAACAAGCACAAATCACAGACAAAAGCAAGAACCGAAGCAAAAACCCTAAATCCTAAAGCCCCAAGCCTTAAACCCGCGATGCCGAAACAGGCCCTTAAAACGACCATAAACCCTAAAGCCCTAAAACCCTAAAACTTAAACCTAGAAGCTTTAAACGCTAAACCCTAAAACCCAACACCCAAACATGCGTTCAACAAATGACTGCTTGTCTTTGACATAAGCTAAGACGAACAGCAGTTTTCTCCGCTAGCCGCGTCGTGTTGCTCAGGAGAACTCCTAGTGATCGAGAGAAGAACTAGCTAAACAGAGCGTGCGTGCCATAGGGAAGCTTCAAGAAGCTTCAAGTCTTCCTTGGGCGATTTGGGCGAGCCTGGGTTTCTTGTTACAACGACGTTTGCCAACCTGAAGCTCCTGCTCACCCCGTTCCAGCAATCAGTGGGAACAGATCGCGAAGGGACATCTGTGAGATCAAGCGGGCATTCTGGAAACATCAACGTAACTCCGCGCAGAGGAACAGAGTGGAATCAGCAGCTATACACGACTGAGAGCAGGACTCCATTGACAGCTTGGTTTATTGATTCGTGGTCCCAGTTTGATGTCAAGGTCTATTCTTCGAAAACCGTCTGCAAGATCTACGAATCTTCCTCTCAGTGTTCCCCGTTCAACGTCCCGTCGTCAGTCTCGGTCTCCTTCACTAGGAGGCGGAGGGGCAAAGAGAGTGAGAAAGTATTTCGACTACCAGGGAAAGCTAAAAAGCGGTGCCTCATTGCCTGTTTCCTCGTTGCCATTGTCTTTCTGGCGATTTGGGGACACTTACCAGTTCAAGGGGGACTATTGGGGAAAAGTATGTCTGGTGAGCGGTCGTTTGGAGTTGATCACCGTGGGTCACAGCGGGCAGCATGCCACAGTCTTGATGAAGGGGACCGACAATGCCGATCTATTGAAGTGGGCAGAGACCAGCAAATCCGGAGGGTACCCCCCAGAGATTTCCGTTCACCTTTGCCCCGCAGGATGCCCTCGAACCAGCGTGTCTCAGGGAGCAATTCATGGTTTGGAGGTGAGCCTCGAGGACGATCGCGCAGCATGGGCAGGGAACGTGGATTCCGTTCAGAGCCAAGCGGGGATTGGAGATTTGGAAGGGGACTTAAGGAGGATTGCAGAAGCAGGAAAGGAGCAGGTTTCAGGGCTCCCCACGCAGGACAAGCGGAAGCTACCCGACACACACAAAGCAGCGTTGAAGACTGGATCCCAAACTTTCGCAGGAACCCCGATGGACCCAACACTGAGTGTGAGGAGCGTGTTAAAGCAAAGGAAGAAAAAAGGCAAGAAGCGATCCAAGAAGACAAAGAAGTGCAGGAAGGACAAATCCAGTTGTGCCAGCAGGTCGAGCGCAAGCGGCAGCGGCAGCAGCAGCAGCAGCAACACACTGGATTCACAGGACTCCAGCCACCCTTTCAGGGAAGGGCATCGTGTGAAACAGTTGGCCCGCAAGCATCCGGGACTCCTCACGCGGCATGCTCTAGAAGAGATGGCAAGAATGTTGGTGGAGCAAGGGGCGGCAAACAGCACCAGCATATTACCCCTGTACCTGAAATATTTCCGTTTGGGAGCACTCAGAAGGGACATGACACCAGGTCACCGAAGGGAGATTAGTACGCTGGCTCACGCACTGGACCGGTTGGTGCAGCGGGATATTCTGGGAGCAATGGACATTCTCAACCAGAGGGTCAAAGCATTGGAGTTGGTAGTGACAGGTTCGGCATGGAATGTAGTGCAGCATCTGGAACTAGCCCCGCAAGATGGCGATCGCATAGCCAGCCATTCGGAGATGCAAGGAGCCGCAAGGGAGCACAAGTTCGAGAGCAAGACTCAAAGGGAGGTTTCAGGCAAAGGAGCGAGTCAGTGGAGGTGGCCAGGCCCCGATTGGAAAGGAAAAGGGGGGAAGGAGAGGAAAGGAGATGGCAAGAAAGGTTCACCCAAAGGAGGGAAGGAAGGACAGGGAGGACAATGGCAAAGGTTGGAGCCTACCCGACCACACCAGTGATTGCACCCACCACTTGTCGCAGCATGCCTTGTTCATCAAGTCAGCTCAGCGGTGTTATTCATGATCTGATTCTGGGCAGTGTTTCGTCTTCGTTCGGTTCGTTAGTCAACGATTTCTGCGAGAGCCAGGGAGAAAGTACGGCGCGGGGAACCAGCCTCAGACAGGATATCTTCCCGCTGCCCCTGCCCAGAAGCTCATCGGTGAAGGAGTGGAGAGAGAAAGAGATGAGTGCAGAGTTGTGGTACTTCAATGTGGTGGTTGCGCTGAATTACTTACATGGTGGAAAACATGTTTCGCTGGAGTGTTCTACGCCCACTGAAGTTCAGCAGGGCATTCTGGACTACCTCCGAGGTCGAGTGGACTGTTTCCTCACGCATGAATTCCGTGTTGATGTTTTTGATTGGAGGGAATTTCTGAGGACCAGATCGTTGAGCTATACTGGTGAAGAGGTCAAGTCAGCTTGTTGGACCAGTTGGGAAAACATCAAGCCAGCATTGCCTCATGGTTCGGTTGGTTCAGTTTCAGCGCTCGATCTTGCCGAGGGTGGTGTACGCGAGTTCTTAATCAATCCACAAAGCTTTCTCCGAAAGGGCTGGGACACGCAGTCAATGAGATCCTCACGAGTCATGGTATCAGACAGCGATTGGGGAGATTTGGCGCGTGGTTTGGTTCAGTACAATCTCTGTGCGATCCTTCCCGAATCGGCGATTCTTCACTGTGGAGGAACTCCCGTTTTCAATGGTTTGTTTGGAGTTGAGAAAGGGGAGCAAGCCGAGGGTGTAGAAGTGCATCGTTTGATAATGAACCCCTACAAACAGTTTGTTCTTGCCAGTGGATGGTGATGTTCAGACTTTGCCGCTACTGCCCCAGATGAATGCCTTTGAAATCCAGCCTTCCGAAGAGCTCCTCATTTCCAGCGAAGATATTCGGGCGATGTTTTACATCTTCGGATTACCGTCTTGTTGGTTGCCATACTTCGCCTTCAACAAACCTGTTCCTGAAGATTTGGTGCCGCCAGGTGTCGACGAAAGTTGTTATTTGTGCTCCAAAGTGCTGCCCATGGGGTTCATCAGTTCAGTGGGAGTGGCGCAACACATTCACCGAAATTTCCTTCGGAAGGTGCAGGGTGACCCCAAAGCATTGATGCCCTATGCAGAGATTCGTCGTGATCGCAGTTTGAGTCTCAGCAATCCCAGGTGGAGAGTTTATCTTGACAACTTGGATTTGCTCCACAACGTCAATCCGGATTTGGTTGGAATTTTGGAGGGTGAGGTGAGTGACCATATGGCATCTCTTATAACCTGTTACAACCAAGCAGGCATCCCACTGAACGACAAGAAATCCGTGAAGCAGAAAACGTTCGCTGAAATTCAAGGTGCAGAGATTGATGGTTCATTGGGAGTGTCGCGACCGAAAGGGGAAAAGCTGGGCAAATACGCCAGCGCTGCGATTTCTCTACTTCGTAAGAAGAAGTGCAGCCGAAAGGAAATTCAGGTCGTTTGTGGCGGTCTGGTTTATTTCTGCATGTTCAGAAGACCACTCATGTCATGTCTCAACTACGTTTGGCGATTCATACAATCTTTTGATGATCCTGGGCCTCTTCAGCGTGAGCTTCCTTCTGCTGTAGTTTCCGAGCTGTCGATGTTTCTTTGCCTTCTGCCTTTAGCTCATCAGGACTTCCGGTCACCCATCAGCAGGTATGTCACAGCCAGTGATGCGTCCATGGATGGTGGAGGTCTTTGTGTTTCGGATGGTTTGACTCCGTATGGCCTCAAGGTTTCATCTGGGGCTTTTCGTGGCGAAAATGTTGATGACATTCCCGAGCGTGGTGTGGTTTGTGTTGGACTGTTTGATGGTGTTGGCAGTTTGCGACTTGCTCTTGAGGTACTTCAAGTCAACGTGCAACTCCACGTTTCAGTTGAAAGTGACGAGCACGCCAAGCGGGTGGTAGAAGGTCATTTCAACAATGTGGTCCAACTCAACAGTGTGGAAGATATTACTCCTGAGATGTGCCAACGGTGGGCAGGAAAAGCAAGTGGCGCGGGCATGGTGATTGTGGGTGCCGGTCAGTGTCAAGGGGTAAATCGTCCCAACGGTGAGCGTAGTGGAAGCGTCAGTGTGATTCAACCTTTGATTCGAATGTTACGGCAATCTTTCTCTTGGTGCCCTGTTCATTTCATTCAAGAGTCCGTTTTTCAAATGGACTTGGGAGATAGGCAAGAGTTCACCAGAGCAGCAGGGGTATTGCCCATTCGGATTTGTGCTTCTGAGCTCTCCCCTTGCCGTCGTGATCGCCTCTACTGGATAGACTGGACGGTTGAAGCTGGAGACGGTGCGCACATTACGCCTTCTACCACTACTACCAGGGCCGGATTTCATGAGGTCCATTTTGAGGTCAATCGTGATTTCGTGGGAGTCTTCCACCCGCGATGGGGGATGATGCCGGGGGTTGACTGCCTGGCAACATTTACAACTTCACAACCCAGCGAAATCCAACCCACGCATGCAGCTGGGATATCAAAGTGCTCCCCCGACGTCCTCGCACGGTGGAAGGACGACCGCCACAGGTTCCCCCCATATCAATACCGGGATCAAAACTTGTTAGTGCACGCAAACGCAACCAAACGCATTCCCTCAGTAGATGAGCGAGAACGCTGCATGGGAATGCCGAGAAATTACACATTCAACAGCCTGCCAAAGAACCAGGTGAAGAGCCAGCCTCAGCATCACGAGGATGTCAGAATGTCCTTAGTTGGAAACGCGTGGAGTGTGCCTGTTATTGCTTGGTTGTTGCTACAGCTGCTGAACCCCTTGGGGCTATGCCTTGTGAAGTCGTTGAGCGGGATTTTGGACATTCTTTTTCGTGATTGTCCCATCTTGTCTGATTCACTCTTGAGTTGGCATTCCTTTGATCGCGGATGTTGCATTCGCCAGTCGGAATCGGAGCTCACTTTGGTCAGAAAGCTTATGACACTTATCTCTACAAAAGGCGATGACGTCCTTATACAACCTTCAGGGGTGGTGGTCGTTCTTTTCAGAAATTTCGGCGAAGTGTTCCTCCCACTCTCTGGAAGTGGAAAGTGGTTTGCGGGTGGCGGTGGTGTGACTCGGATCATCACCACATCAACAAGTTAGAGCTTCGGGCGATCTACACATCGTTGCGATGGCGAGTGCTTCGTAAAGATGGCTTGAACATCAAGTTTTTGCACTTGACCGACAGTCTTGTGTGCTTGCACGTATGCAATCGAGGACGTAGCAGCTCCCACAAAATCCAGTCTCTTATGTATCGGATTTCTTCATTGTGTCTCGCGTCAGGACTACATCCTTTCATCTCTTATGTTTCGACCCACTTGAACCCAGCAGATAAGCCGAGCCGCAGGGCTCGGGTCAAGCGTAAATGGTCAAAGTAATTACGTCTTCAGGTCGAAACAGAGATGAAAGGAAACGTAGTCGTGCCCAGATTGGCACTTTGCGAGACAACACAGTCGCCACAAAGACGCGGCAAAGATACAACAGAGCCTTGACGACTTTTTATTCTTTCTGTCACGTGCGAGTCCTCCGCATCCCTGATGCACCTAATGCTCTTGATGAGCTTTTCTGTGACTTTATCGAGTTTGTGTGGGAAACAGGGGAGAGCCTGTCCCTCGTCACGGATTCCCTTTCAGGAATTCAAGATTTGAGACCCCGCCTCCGAGGCCAACTCAGTGCTTCGTGGAGACTCGTTAAGACTTGGCAGAAGTTGGAAATCCCTCATAGAGCACCGCCTCTTCCTGAGGATCTCCTTCACACTTTATGCGGTTTTTTTATTCTCCAAGGGGATCGACACATGTCGTTGATCCTTGAAACCGGTTTTTATGCTGTTCTGCGAACCGGGGAACTTCTCTCTTTGAAAGCGCGCGATGTCCAAATCAGTCCTCAATTCGAGTGCGCAGTGTTGAGTTTGGGATACACCAAAACGTCCCAAAGAACTGGCGCGGCCGACTCAGTTACAGTCAGAGTCACTTCGTTGTGTCGTCGTTTGGCAGCGTGGAAAAGCAAAGCTAAACCTGATGACAAGCTCGTTCCTTTTTCGGATTACCTTTTCCGTAAGTGTTTTGACACTGCACTGGAGAAGCTCTCGATGAAATCTTGGGGCTTCCGTCCATATTCTCTTCGCCGGGGAGGGGCTACCATGTACTTTTCCAAAAACCCGCGAATGGATTGGCTCCGTTTGATGGGTCGATGGTCGTCTGACAAGACGGTCCGTGTTTATATCAACGATGGTCTGGCCCAGCTGGCTCAGATGCAGTACAGCATCTGCAGCTCCCATTTGCAACAATACCACTTAGCATATCATACTTTGACGCGGCTTGATCATGCTGCTAGCATGACAACTAGGGGTCGTGGAAACAAGCGGTGAAGCTTTCAGCTGCAAGGGTTGCATCGTCAGTGTATTCTTTTCAAACTTTCGGTTTGGTAACCTAGTCGTCTTGATGTTGTTTGTTTGTCGTACCCTTGTAGTGCCTTGCCAGACTTGTAAACAAGGCGTTGAAAGCTGAGCCTTTGAAGAGCCTTGTAGTGCCTTGCCAGACTTGTAAACAAGGCCTTCACATCTGAGTCTCTGGAGATTTGTAACAACTTGTAAGGAGGGGTGGGGTTTGTTCTGCAAGTAGGCATGTTTTTCAGCTACAGAATCCTGGCTCCGCAGGAAAGAAAAGCTGCTTTGAGTCTTTGACTGCTTGTCTTTGACATAAGCTAAGACGAACAGCAGTTTTCTCCGCTAGCCGCGTCGTGTTGCTCCCACCCCGCCCCTCCCGAGACCAGCCACGCCTTCCGTAGTCGTTTCACTTGTCTCAGTCGGATTTTTTTCTCGCGTAAAGATGACCGTGCTTGGCAGCAGCGCAACATGTTTTGCTGGCCGTGCTTGGCAGCAACGAGGGGTGTATTGCAATTTCTCAGCTGGCCGTGCTTGGCAGCCCTGACGATGGTTGCCTAATACGCTGACCGTGCTTGGCAGCAGCGAGGGGATGGCACACTTGAGCGGCCTCCGCATTGACCGGCTCTCTGTCCACTATAATCTCTTGCGCCCATTCGTCGATTTCGTTTCGTGTTTCTGTCGTTCTTGCTTTCCTTTTGCGTCGCGACTTACATCGCTGACCAATTGGCCCAGCACAACCAGGCTGGCTGCGTTTCTCATTTTCTTCCCCTGCCTCTCCTCAGAGACAAGCGGTGAAGCTTTCAGCTGCAAGGGTTGCATCGTCAGTGTATTCCTTTCAAACTTTCGGTTTGGTAACCTAGTCGTCTTGATGTTGTTTGTTTGTCGTACCTTTGTAGTGCCTTGCCAGACTTGTAAACAAGGCGTTGAAAGCTGAGCCTTTGAAGAGCCTTGTAGTGCCTTGCCAGACTTGTAAACAAGGCCTTCACATCTGAGTCTCTGGAGATTTGTAACAACTTGTAAGGAGGGGTGGGGTTTGTTCTGCAAGTAGGCATGTTTTTCAGCTACAGAATCCTGGCTCCGCAGGAAAGAAAAGCTGCTTTGAGTCTTAAGCCTAACACCCAAAACCTAAAACCTAAACCTAGAAGCCTCAAACCTTAAACCCCCCAAAAAAGCCTACCCCCCCAAAAAAAAGCCTAAGCCCCCCAAAAAGCCTTAACCCCAAACCCAAAAAAGATGCCTAACCCCCCCAGGTTTTTGTGCTGGGTCTTCTCCTCGCAGCTGCTGGCAGCCTTCCCGGACATCAAGCGGGGGAAAGACGTCTTCAGGCCCCCTTTTTTTGAAGGGATCCTTAAAGGATTCCTTGAAAGGGATCTACAAGGGGTTTAGGGTTTAGAGCCGTTCAGGGTTTAGACATATGGGTTTAGGGTAGGGGTTGTCTAGTTATCTGTCCATTCACATCTGTGCTTGTTTAAAGCGTTCATTACCATTTCGATGTTTCGTGCTCTTCTTCTCATTTTCAAGTGCTCTTCTTCTCATTTTCAATCTTTTTTCGTTTTGTTTTTTTCTGGCCGTTAGCGACAGAGTTTGTCATGCTTTGATATTTCCAGCGTAGAGGCCCTCACCATAAATTACACCCAATCCCTACACAAGCCCTACACCCTACTGAACCCTGAACCTGTTAGTTTACAAATTGGCTAAACCCCTGTAGCCTTCTAGCACCCCTTGTGAGGCATGAACCCCTAAACCAGGATTTTGCATTCGGGATTCCGGGTTCAGGGCTTGGGTTTAGAGCTTGCGGTTTAGGATTCTGGATTTCGGGTTTAGGGCTTGTATCGGTGCTTGAGGCTCGGGTTTTAGATCTAGTGTTTCAGTTTAGGGTTTAGGATTTTCGATTCAGGGTTTACGCTTTGGAGTTTAGGTTCAGGGTCTAGGGTGCCAAACCCTAAGCCGCCACCGTACATCGTACCAGCCCCGAACCCTTGTGAAAGCCTTGTTCTTCCCTTATCGAACCTGTAGAACACTGTAGAATTTTTCGACAAGTCGAATGGAATACCCTTCGGTCTCGAAAAACCTCCTAGACCCTAAACCCATATACGAAAACTCGATGCCAGTAGCCCTGAACCCCAAAACCCCTTTAGAAAAAACCCTTACGGGAACCCTTTAAAGGAATAAAGGAATTCCTAAAAGGAACCTCGAACAGGAAATCCTAGAAGGAACCCTCAAAATGAGCTTGTTCAAAACAAAAGCTCCTTTTGCAGGGAAGCGGGCCTCGTCGTTCAGATCGTCTGGAATGCTTCCTGCATTTGGAAGTGGTTCTTCTTGCCCCTTGGACTTGTGCTCTGTTACATGTGTCTTTGGGGTTTTAGGGTTTGGAGTTGTATATGTTTCTCTTGGGTTTCGGGCTTGGGGTATAGGGTTGCGTTGCCTGTTTCCTTAGGGTTCAGTGTTCAGGGTCTAGGGCTGCGTATGTTTCTTGCTTTAGGTTTTAAGGGTTAGGGTTCGGGATGTTATATTGCATAGCTTTTCTGGCTCTTGCAAGGCTGGGTAGACACTCGTGTCGATTGAGTCAAAGGCCCATACTGACATCGTCGTTACACAGATCAGCATCAACCGGGTGTTGGTGCCCCCGAATGTTTGGCACACGACACAGCCACACAAGGACTCGGAAAAACTATGCAGTAGTAACTATGAAAAATGAGGTATGGAGGTTCGTGTATTGGCCCTGTACTCGAGGGGTATGACACTCCTACCTGTCACTGTTATCGTTAGCCTTGCTATCGTCATCATATCATCACTCGAAGCTGTAAGCCCTTACCCATTTTATTTTAAGTGTTGTAAGTAGAGTCCTTTTGGTTACCATTTGTGATCCGTATCCGCTTAAATCCCCCTAATCCTACTCTACCATACACCCTAAACCCCTAAACCCTAAACCCAAAACCCCTAAACCCTAAACCCTAAATCCTAAACCCCTAAACCCTAAACCCAAAACCCCTAAACCCTAAACCCTAAATCCTAAACCCCTAAACCCTAAACCCTAAACCCTAAACCCCTAAACCCCTAAACCCAAAACCCCAAACCAAGCCTTGAGGCGCTGGTAGGGTTCCTTACTATCACGTTTTGTTTTGATATACCCCCCCCCCCAAAACCCTCTTTAAGGCCACAGAACCCTTCATACGGTTGATGACAAAAATCCTGCATTACCTTAAGGGCCCTAAACCATGGGAATTATGGGATATTCCTTATTATGGGTAATGCAGGATTTATATCATCAACCGTAGTACCCCTTATAGTAATCCTTGCATAACCCCATTCTACTTCTTGGGGCACTGTACTTGTCGCAGGTATTGCTGGGTGCAGCAGAGCGCTCTGCATCGCGCGGGTCCCGTTCCCGCGCTGCTGACCAGCTGCCTCTTCTTCACCCTTTTCCACGAGCCCCGGCGGATTTGAACAGGGCTTCCTTGTATCCTGCACCCAGAATAGCCTGAATCCGGAACATTGACGCCCTACACTGTGCATGCTAGTCCAAACTAGCCTAAACCCTAGAGCCCTGTACTACAGTGTGACAGCCCTGGCCGGTACTCTCATTCACAAATATCTTTCTACCTGGACACTCCAATACCCCTCAGATAAAGCAGTTTCCCCTAAACCCTAAACCCCTGAGACTTTCGTAAGACACCCTCTAGAACTGCCACAAAAGCAGACTGACTTCAGTGGGGGG